CATTGTTTTAATCTTATAAACTAGACTTTACAATCACTTTACAATTTATGATTTGTATATTTTACACCTAGAAGAGAGCACCATGACCACCTGATATGATCCCTTCCTTAATGTAGACTGAAGAATCACTCTCAGCCTTTAAAACTTACGGGTCTTCTTTGCTATGTATAAATTAGCTGCTAAAGCATGACTGAAAAAGCTATGTAAAATGAAAATAGGAGGAAGTGACAATCTAAGGCACTGTTTATTTAAATTTCAGAGCAACTGAATTCCTGATGTTTCCAGTAGTCCTACCTTGACCTCTACTTGGACAGCATTATGATACTTCCTTCGTTGCTGAGATTGAGGCATATACAGTCGAGGGCATATCATATTTTATTTAAAAACACTGCAGAAGGACATTAAATTTTACAGGTCAGATTCTCTGTGGTGCTTGAGCAAAGCTGGGTCTGCAGGCAAAAGCAAATAGCCAGCTCACTTGAGAGCCACTAAGGTGCAGCTTCCTTTTATCCTCAGAATAAACATCCACAGCCTTGTTATGGCCAGACAGGTCCCTCAGCCCAGTACACCCTCTCTCCACCTGGATTTCGGAGGGATGACAGCTCACATGGGCTACAATACTGCCTTGACAAGCACCATTTTTTAATAGATCTGAGTCCCGCAGTGAGACTAAGTCCCATTATATGAAAAGTTGCAAAAGGGGACAGCAGCTCTGTCAGTCTTTATCAGGTTTTTGCCCCCCTTGAAAGCTCCTTCGCACAGTTGGAGGTCCACTTGCCATTCAGAGGCACCCTCAAGTCACATCATGCCTAAACATTGTAAGTGTACATAAAGGTGCTAAAGCAAGTTCCAGTGAGTCAACCTCACAATACGGGTATACAAAACCATGACTGCTCACCCTCTCTGGCTGCATCATGTTTGACCTGCGCCTTATGAGCAACAACCGTTTCAACCATATTACGCACGTGTTTCAAGCATAACTATGAACCCAAACATGAAATGAGGTTCTGACTCATCCCACCTAAGGCACCCAAGATGACTGCATCCAGAGTAAAGTCTCCCTCTTGCATGGCCAGTGAGAACAGACAGGATATCTCCTGTGGACGTTACAGCCCTGAGAACACACTTGACCCCCTGGGCATCACCACCTGTATTTTCAACTATGCAGCCATGAGCCTTCGCTGACAGGAGCAGCCCAGCTCTCCCTGCTGCAGACAGAGAAATAACACTGATGAACAGATAAATAAATGCTAAGAAAGCACCAGGATCAGCTTCATCTTATCTGGGCAATCTTTCAGCCATATAATGAAAAGAAAATCTCTCGGGAATCTTTGAACAAAATGGTTTTTGGTCTAGAAACCACATCTCCCCCTCCAGGCTCCATGTGGTCTGCAGGTTTAATCTCATCCTCCTGCAAAGACATCGGCAGGAGAAGGCCCATCCTTAACTCCATTGACTGCTCTGTGGCTGCACGCTTCAGGCAAAGCGGCGTTTAGCTGTGTACGCCTATTAGGGCTCTAATACTGGAAACATAAGTGGAACAGGCAACCAAGGTAATTTAATCTAGCAAGATAATTCACTTTCAGTATTACCCCCCTTACCCGCTCCCACTGCCCCAAAAAAATCAGTGACAAGTGCTCAACCTTCTCCTAATGGAAAGGGAACTGTATGCCCATTATCTTTACCCTTCACTCCATACAAACTGTAGCAATGTCTGTATCTGATTCTGAGCTTACAGATACCACTGTGAACAGGTATGGCTTCCACAGAAGTAACTATGCTGCGAGTACTGTAAAGCAGGATGGAGATCTGAATTGGACACCTGTTACTTAACACAGCTCTCTGAAGTCAGATTTAACTTTCTGAATGTTTTTCTTGTTGCTGCTGCTGTTGGTTACCGAAAGCATGAAGCTCAACACGTCAACCCACAGAAGAAGAAAGCTCCTCTATTCCCCTCTGTCCCCACCCCACTTCCTTGCAGGGCAGGTATATAAGATAAACACAAACCAGCTCCCTTAGCTGTCCCCCTCATCCCAAGATTTTCTCAGTGAGGTACCACCTCTTATCCCTTCTATAGACCACTTTTCAGAGTAAATACTTCTTTTAAGTACTCTCTGTCTCTGTCCACAAAGAAGAAAATAACATCTTCACCTATGGAGCCATCTTGGCTCCTTCCTGAAAGTCATGATATAGAAGATTAAATCCTACACATAAGACTATTCTTTGCTCTGCAATTTTCCATTCACTACTTCTTAGATTCAAAGTAAATCTGTTACCTATATGTGCGCGCAGCTGCATAAACCTGATGTGCAGTTATCTGTCCCTATCCATCCCTCATCTGAAGAGCTGCCAGCACTTTTGTGGAATCAGGTTGGGGAAGTCAACTATACTTCCTCCTTCCCACAAGGGATAATGCACAGTGTCTCACACCTGCCAAGAGACTGAATTAATTAATTTCTAATATTGACAGGCTTTCACTAGATCTCCTCCATAATTCTTGACCAGTCACTTGTATGTGGTCTTACCTGTGATAGATGTAGTTGCTTAGTTCTCACTGCCAGCAATCCACAGGCCAGGCAAGTTGTGGAAGTGTTATATGTTACCAAGTGCCAGGAAAGGGAGGGAAATCAGAGTTGGACTGTGTGCATTTTTCACACACAAATGTTAGTAAATGTAGAGAACCCAAGCTTCACCTCCTTCCCCTTCTTGCTCTACCAAGGGTGGGATGCAGATCACAATAGCAGTCACCTCACCTGTATGCTTTCCACAGCTCCACCTTTCCCACCACTCAGGTTATACGGCCAAGTTCCCTGTACATCACCCAAGCTCTTTTGGGTCACTAACACAATGTCGTCAATGTCATCGCTGCAACAGCCAAGCCTGCAGCACAATGCGATGATTGCTTCCCCGCTCACATTCACCGTGCATTTGTTCCAGTCAGCTTGAAAATGAGGGGATGAGGCAGGCTAGGTTTTCCTGCTGAGTAGATTTTTGCTTGAATTTAATTAAAAACATTCAGCAACTCACTGAAGTTCCTTGCAAACTGCAAATGTCCCGTGCTTTAAAATAAGCTCTGGAAACAAACAGGCTTTTATGTTTTCTTAAAATGCACTCCCCAGATAGAGAGGGTTCCTCAAATTTCTTCACAATACTATACCAAAGCTGCTGAACCAGAAAAGTTAAGCTTTTTCTGAACTACCTTGGTTGTGTTGTTATTGTTAATGGCTTTTTTCTTTGTCTAAAAGCTAACAAGGAAAGCCACTCTTGGTTCTCTGACATGTAGAGAAGTGACCGTACAGCTCACTGGAAGCAGGCAGCTCTGGTCACCTTGGTCTGACACTGGGTCAGGGATGCCAGCTTGTGGTTATACCCAAGGAATATGCAAGTAGTGTCGGGGATTCAGGTGCCAAGGCCAAGACCACCCTTTTCTTGCAGGCAGAACTCCGGTAATTCAGCTTTACTGCTGAGAGAAGGAAGCCTCCTCACAACTAAGGCATGTTTTAGGTACCATTGTTCAAAAAGGCCCCATTTCTAGGAAGTGTGCCAGGGGGTCTATGAGAACAGCCAAGCCAAGCCCCACACAGCCGCACCACCTTAATCCAAAGGCAAGCCACCCCTGGGAGATGGCCACCGCAGTGCATTACATTGCTGCTTGTGGGAGAACGTGAACTTATGGAAAGTCAATCCAGCTCCAAACAGCGTTAACATTGATGGAGAAATTCAGAGGGAAAGACTACATAGACTTAACGTGTTATGCTTGTAACTCCATCCCTGATACTGAAAACAGACTTTTCCTTGCCAAGAGTCACTCCGACCTGGGGAGCTGTGGCAAAGCGTTGTGTACACAAAAAGCCCGTGAGCACCTCAGGAAGGCTGTTGCCATCAAACAAGTGCTAAAGGATCCTCTGGACTGGCTAGCATCACACCACTAGCTCCCAAATTCATCCTTTCTCACTGTCCCTAAATGCCTCAAAAAATGTCCTCATCTCCAAAAGCAGAGTGCCCTTAAGCTGCACAGTCAAGAACAAATTCCTTCAGGGTTGTAACAACCAATTAAGGGATGTGAAGCAATTACTTTTGTACCAATACAAATGAAACTCCTTCAATGCAATTAACTATCCCTTATCATCTACTGTTGAATCTGTGGAAAGCATATGCTATATACTCTCTCCTCCCCTAGCTTTTCCACAATTTTAATCAGTTTGTTTTAGCTAATGTAATGAAACCTACCTATTCTAGAGAAATAATATACGGCTGCAGATTATCTGAATATTTTTAAATGTCTTTTTTCATTTTAAATATAATTTCATTTGAGATTTGGCAGCTTTCATTTCTATTAATAAATTATCATTTCTTCTTTATAAGTGATGAGCTAGAGTGTCATGTAATTTTTTCCTCTAAATAGACCAAGACTTTGATCTAACGCAAGCCCTTGCTGGGAGTTGAAGAGAATTTCTGTCTAATTTAGTAACGAAAAATATTCAATTAAACTTGGGAGTTTAATTCATTTAGTTATGAAAATTAAATGAGCTCAGTAAGGTACATTTGATTTGCCTTGGGGGGGGGAGGGGGAAAAAAAAAAAAAAAAGGAGAAGAATCTCTGAAAGGGGAACAAATAAGAAAGGAGAACAAAAGTAACTTTTCCTGCTCACACTGAAAGGTGGATAACATGAAGAGCCCGAGTTCTGTTTTGTGTGACTATATAAAACATATCCACAATGAATTCATGCAAAATTTATATCCAGAAGTCACATGAATATCTGGTATTAACATCCTAATTGTCTCCTGGGTAACAAAAATCCCTGTCGGTCATAACTGAGCCCATCCCAGTCCAGGGAAGATCTGACTCCTCACACCAGGAAGGCACCATCCACACAGAATCCTTCTGTGTCTCCATTTGGGAAAGAAGGAAAATATCGGAATTATTTTTCAAAACCAGAACAGAGCAACACAGATCTCTCGGACAGAAGCCCCCTTCTGGTTCTGAAGCTGTCACTTACCATTTTTGCAGATAGGACAGCACTGATCGGGCTCATACACCGGATCCACACACTCAGTCTGGGGACAAGCTGAGACCGTGCAAAGCACCTCACCATTGGCTTCACAGCGACACTTCTCACACGGAGAAACCTGAAACACAAATCCAGTCTCTTTTTAACTTAATGCCCTCCTGAAGTGTGCATTGCCTACCTTCCCATCTGCATTTCTCTTTCCTTCATCCCATTTTCCTCTCCACTTTAAAAAAAATGCTTTTTTGTGGTCCGAATAATGCAGAGAGTGAGGCTGGGCTCCTGCAAAATTACAGAACCACAGCAGAAAAATAACACAGGTTCCTCTCTGAACCTGTGCACCCAAAAAGTCAAAGGGATCTTGTGAACAAGAGCACTTTAGACTTTTAACACAAATAAAGCAAGAATTTCCCTAGCATATTTCTCATGAACTTCCAGCAAATTAAGTTTATAATTTAGATGAAATCTGCTTTAATTCTATTAGGGGTTCAAAAAGTAATTTAGCAAAAGATACTGTATTTAAAGAAAAGAAATGTTGCTAATTGAAATATGAACTTTCTTTTAATGGAAATTCTTATTGCAAGTCTTCCAGGTTCAAAAGCTTTTGGTAGAAGTTGCATTTTATTGAAAATTATAATTTCTCAAAGAGAAATAACGAAAAAAACCTCCTTTCAGTTCAGGTATTTCCCATGGGTTAACTGTATTTGGACCATTCTTGTAATACTTACAACTTTCTGAAAAGAAACTGCAATTCAAAGAAAGGGGTGAAGCAAAATACAGGTCACCCTTTTTACCAACTGAAATGCTACTGGTTTTGAAGAACTCTACAGAATAGGAGTACCCATGAGATTATTACTTCAATGACCTACTTCAATAAAACTAATTCCAAGCAAAACAGCATCAACGTCCTATTTAGGAAAAAATGGACTTTCAAATGTCTGCATTTGCCACATGTACAGTTCCAGCTGCCCTCTTCAGTGTCCCTGACCAGGCGCTGCGCATAGCATCACTGACGTCCTCATACCACACAAGGAGCTGGAGGCAGAGGGAAGTAAGGGTGCTAAAGAGCAGTAAATGGTAGACTGTAAATCTCATTGCTGTACTCCAAAAAAATAAACCACACTGGCATCCACGTTTAGAGCGCAGGATGAAAATGCAGCTGCATGTTATTATTAGTGATCCTCTAAAATCTATAATCTGTACAGATTTTTGGTTTACTTAAGATGAGGCAGTTTTTTTATGGACCCTTTTTCATTCCAGCTTCCAGTTGACACAAACAGCCACCCGTTGCATTTTTCCAATGAAAGCAGAATAACCACAAACCTAACAAAAGAAAAAAAAAATCCAAAAACCAAAAACCACAACTATTCTCTGTGAAGAATCATCCAGATGTCTAACTTGCAGATCATCTGTTTCTTCTCCCTATTTCTCAGGCAGCCCATTACATTTATTCATCAAATCCATTCTCTGCTTACTTGTCTCTTTCACATCCTTCTCACTTCCAAAGTTCAAACATGATGATGCCTGTATAGCATCATCTCCAACTAAATGCTCATCCATGCTCTGCCACTTCTCTTCCCACCTGCCAGGGCTGCTATTTGCTTATGCACTCACGCATCTTTCATGCTGTCCCCTCTACTTAGAAAGGCTAAGTAGGGTCTCTTACTGTGTTGCTTTCTGTTTTTATTACTTATTGCAGGCTTCCTTTGCTAGCTACTCACTTTCAGTCTTCTCTTTGCTTTACACTCTACCAAGGGTAACACCACACCATACATTTATAAAATGCTGCAAGGAGGCTGACAGCCCAATACTGCAGATTTTTATTGCAGGGTTTGGAACAGAAATTTTGTCCTGTAATGGTTTATAAACTGCCACATTCATTTGCAGAGCTGGAGTGTCAGCAGATGAGGAGGTTTCTGATCCAGTGTTCAGAAGTCAAGAGGCTCAGGTATTCCAGGTGATGGCTTGAACTGCATGTAAATTTTGAGTGTCAGCAAACCTGAGCTCCTAACTATCTGCAAGTCAACAATAAGAATCCTTCTCTCCGGAGTTATATCCAGAAACAATACTTACTTAATTATGAAAACATGCTTTTTAAGGAGGACTGATTATTTTTTTTATTATTATTTTTAAGGAATCCTACTGGATCAGAGCTACCAGAACTCAATTCCAAGGATCAGATTCAGAAGACAAACCTATAGCTTTCAATTGGTTGTAACATTTTTTGCCATGGCTTGAAAAAGATGAAAATTTTCCAATCATCACAGTTCAACAAGACCAGTAACTATCACAACGGATATTCCCTCTCCCAGGACACAGCTTAGTAGCTATGCCATTCAATATTTTAAGTGATATGAAAACTAGAGTATCTGATGATAATCAGGAAACAAGACAGCACACAGATGTTATTCCTAAAATCTCTCATCTGTAAAATTTAAACATATTCTAATTAAATAGGTTGTTTACTAGAATTCCAAATTTGACAGAAGCCTGAAATTCCTAGAACTAGAAAACATTTAATGCAGCACTGAAAATACTACTGAATGAGAAACAAAATTGATCTAATCTTTATCTAATGATGATTCAGAATAATGCATTTCTGTCCTATACAGCACATACAGTTGAAGACTACATCTTTCGTGAACAGAGTACATTGTTAACGGGATACTGCAGCTATGAATACCCTTCTTATGTAATACATCATGGATTTCCAGGGGAATACATATAGTACACCTTTAATAAGTACTGTCATCTGTACAATCCACCAATATGAGTAATGGTAGCAGAATTAAGGAAGATCTCCATGTGCTTATTTCTACAAAGCTCTTTTCAGGCATGTAAGTGAACCACAGTAGCTGCTAAAATGGTATTAGTGTCAACCTTTATCTGTTCCTCTTTGGATGAAACAGTACTGCATTACTTTTTATATATCATCAGGGTGTAGCAGGAACTGTAGAAAAAAAACCACTTCTTTCTGCATCTTAATAGCACCTTAATACTTGGAGACATAATAATCATCACTAGAGAGAGACAATAAGACAAGGTGTATATGTAGCAACAGCTGAATAAATCACAATGAGAAGACACATCATTTGGTCCTTCATTTCCTCCCTTCTACTCTTATATGGTAAGTGCATTCCCTGCAGCGCAGTTCCTAGTGGCAGCCAGTGCAACGAGAATCCCACTTGCTCACCTGGGAGACAACCAGCCCAGCAGCACTCATGTGTAGTTCAACTGACATAACCAGGCTGGACTGGAAATAATACCACTCATCAACCTCTCTCCGAAGACTAATGATATCATGTCTCTGTGGTCTACAGATGAAGCTATTAACTCTATAGCAGCAGTAGTTCTGCCTATGCAAAAACTGGGAAGGCGAGAGGCACAGAAGTCTTACGTATTCACCAGGCAGCCATAAAACCTGTAGAAAATAGGAGTACAGATGGAAAAAAAAAAAAAAAACAACAATTCCTTTAGAAATGTTTAAAGGGAAATTAATGAGCAGATGTATAAATGGAGTTGCAGATGTTGCAGAAAAGCAAACACACCATTGTGTAAAGAGGTATTTCCCACTTGTGGGGCATGAAGAAGACTGTAGCTTAGTAAGGGGAGCAGATTTCTCCAGTAACTTAGTGTAAATTGTCATAATTAAGAAGTGACAAATCATTTGCACTCATTGAAGTTGTGGTCCAAAGTAATCTGAACTTTCTCTTCCCTTTTTCCACATGCCAAACTTTAATTAAAAAAAAACGAAACAAAAACAAACTAACAAAAAATCTGAATTAAAAAAACCCCTACATTTGGTTCCTTGAGCCTTGAAAACATCTAAGTTTAAAAAAAAAAAAAAATCAATCATAATCCCAAACTTATTTGCTATTGTGATGGAATGTTTATAAATATTTCCTTGCCACTTACATCTCAGGAAAACATGAATGGGGTTAGGCTGACAAGAATAAACATACCAGCCTTGTTTTGACTTCTCTGTGCCTTCAAATTCCATCTGGGTTTGTTGCCTCCCAGATTTCCAAGTAACTTATTCTCAAATAAATACAGGTTTTGGTAGCAGAGAAACTCTAAAAAAGACACACGAAGCAACAGCTTTCAAAAATGTAGGTCCTTCCCAAACATTACAGTTCTGAAGATAATTTATGGTCCTTGTAGGGCTATGACTTTATAAGTCTGCCTGCATTTTCAACCTTATTGTAAGACTGAAAAACCTCTTCTGGAGCACGTGCTCAGCCATTTCCAGCTTCAGTGTAGAATTTTACCCTCACTGCATCTCACCAACTGAGGCTTTTGATCTCATTTCCATTTGTACAGATGCTGTGATCCTTCTGCCATCCCACTTCACAATAACCACACGGGAGTAGAGTGGTGCCGATAGAGACAGCTTTACGAGACTTCAGCCTTCCCTCGCACCCAAGCTATGCTTTGTGCCAACATACATGTCTTTTCTGAAAATAGAAAAGCACGTGCACGCACACACATGCGCAAAGCCTGCAGGAAGGACTGTGAATCAAAGGAGAAATGCATCAAACCTCCCATTATCTGGCACACTCAGCTTCCGAGCTAGCACTAGCTCCAGTCAGGGCAATTTTTTTGCCATACCAAGCCATATATGAATCTTATATAAGCAAACTCCCAAACTTGCGTGCATATTTACACATCTATATGTAAATGATGTAGATGATGCCACTTAAAAGTTAGGAGGTCACCTCTTTCTTCCCTCAGTGATGTCTGGCACTCTTTGCCACAAACAGTAGGTGCAGACAGAGAAAAATCAGATCGCTACCCATTTATGACTCTTTCCCTGACCTTAATCAAGAGATAGCGTATTAGTAACCTCTCTAACATCATCAACTTTAAACTTGTAAAATGACCTTTGAAACTATGTGCATTTACTTGCATTTACAACTGTTTCCAGTGAGCAGCAGCAATCTGACTACTTCTGTACCTTACCTCACCAGACATCTCCACTGATCGCAGTGGCATGGGCAGATAGCTGCATTTACAGTTTTGTGATCACAATATTGGAAGCAATGTTGAAGCTCAACTAAAAAACAAGGTCCTCACATGTCAAAAATAAACAGGCTGCAGTTCCACTGCCTAACTGTGCCGGTAACTTTCCTTGCATATCCTGAGCAGGCATCCCTTCTCACTTGTGTTTCCAAAGCTGGCTAACACAAAGAGGTAAGGCAACCAATGTTTCATTACAGGAGAGTATCAATACAAGGGCTGAAGGCTGAATGGGGTTAAAATGAAGCTGAAAGCCAAAGTCTTCTCAGAACATTTCTGTAAATGTCACTGTTCAGCACTCCCTTTTTACCAAGGTTGCCTGCCATGTTCAAATATAACAGGGAGCCTGAAGATTTTATTCTCTCACTACATGCTTAACACAATAAAGGATTTTAGGCTTGCTTTACAGCCATTAACACCATGCCACTATATAAAATGGACAGTGGGGAGAAGCACAGAAAACTTTGACCTACAGAGAATGTGCGCAGAAAGCACCACTGGTTTGGCCACTCCTCGGAATTAACTTTGCTGGAAAAGGAAGGATCACACAATCCATCTCTGAAATGGTCACACCAAACTAGCTGCTGTTAAAAGTACCTTCTCCCTCTTAAAGTAGAAAACTGTCACCCCAAAGCTGAATTCAATCCTTGAGGGTGAGATTAAAAAAAGGGAGGATGATACGATGCTTTCTGCCATGCTTTGAAATCTGCCAGTGCTCTACACATTACTGCCTGAAGAGAGCATGGGGAAACACTGTGATTTAACCCAGAGAAAGTAATTCTGATCCTTTATTTATTTTTCAGTAAGCTGAAGAACATAGAAAGACATTACGAATCAAAGTTACATTTGCAAGAACATGCAAATACCCCAGAGAGCAGAGCTGGAAACTTACTTACAGCTTTCGCAAGTATATTTTCTTTTCCTCCATCCTGAGAGGGGCTCGAGCTTCCAGAAGCCTGACCTGCATTTTGTTCTCCCCTCAACATACTCAGCTCAAAAATCTCAGGTGTGTTCAGAAATGGGTTTTGGACCAGCCCTGTATCTAGCAAATTCGTAGAGCCTGCTTGCACATCTCAGACACAATAAAATACTAAAGGGAGAAAGGCAAGGTAAGCAACCAGGAAATTGGTCCCAACTCCAAAACTTCCCAGCGCACTGTTTTAAGTTTTCAATGATAATGACTTTGCACAATAAGGCTAAAAAGGCCCTAGTCTAAAAGGATTTCCCTAAACATAAAGCTTTTCAAATCCTTTGTTTAAGTATCATTGTAGTCCAGACTGCGAACCATGCTCTTGTTAAAAAGAAGTCCCTAGTCATTCTCAGAAAGCAAACATTATGCAACCTTGGCAGCACAGTTTAAATGGTTAAAAAGGAAAAGAGAAATGACTGTTACGAAAAAAAGTATCACCACAGACTGATTACTAGAAATAGAAGTAAGTCCACAAAACCCTGCTCGAACCCTGCAAGGTAGAAGTTTCACAGTTAACAGTTAAATAAAGAAACAAATGTATTGCTGAAAATTTTCATAAAATCCACATCAACACCGAGCAGCATCCTTCCAAGTAGTATTTTTTACTGTAAATACCAAAGGAAGTAATAAAGATCAGCCCCCTCACTTAAAAACATTACAGTACTGTAGAGCAAGAAAGGTCATGTTTAAGGGGAGTATTTTACAGCACTGCAAAAGTAGCATTAACACAGAAACGAAAAGAGAAGGGGGGGACCCAGTGCTGAGAAAGCACTTGAAGAACACAACGCCACTTTAAAGAAGAGAAGGACCCGCAAAACGGCCTTTGGCTTCAGCCCTTACCATGAACTCCTCTAGGGTCTGGTAGGTCTTCCCTCGAAACTCGCAGTAGTTCTTCCTCTCCTTGCACTGTGGGCAGCACTGCGTGGTGTCCACATGGACGCACCGAGGGTGGAGCCTGGGGCACTCGGGCTGGATGCACAGCGGGCCCTCCTCAGTGCAGAGGCAGGGGCAGGCGGAGGGGCCCGGCGCAAACTTCTCCCCGATGGCGTAGACGAAGCCGCTCTCGTCCACGCAGCCCTTCCCTCGGTAGTCGGGATAGGCGTACTCCTCCGGCGGCTCGGGCGTGACGCTCGCAACAGCTTCTGGGAGAGACGAATCTTCAGCCACCTGAGGTTCCTCGGAAGCGGTGTCCCTTTGCTCTTGCACTTGAATGCTCCCCGATTTACTGCTCGTCCCCTGGCTGCTCCAAGCCTGCTTTTGCTTAGTCCAAGACTCCTTGTTCGAGTAGTTCCTGTTTCCTTTGCTCTTCCAGTCCCTGCTACCCTCCTCCCTCCCGCTCCTGCCGATCTCATTCATTTTCCCAGGGCCTGTCTGGCTGTCCCTTGTAGACGTGTGATCCCTCTTTTCCTGGCTCGCCTTTATCTCCTGTTTGTCTTGAGCCTTGGCCAGTTTTTGTACAGGTATGGTGGAGCTACAGAGGGCAACCATGAGGCAGCAGGTTACGAGAAGAGAACTAGACAGAGCTCCAGTTGCCATTGCAGTAGAGCTGGGCATCACCTACTGCATCCCACAGGGGACACTGCATTCACACCGGAGGGAAGCACTTCACAGATCCACAGTCCCTAGGAAGAGAAGGATTAGCAACACTTCAGCTTCAGCACTTCTTCCCCTCCCCACCCCCCCCCTTCCACCGATGCAACATCTCTAACAATATGCAACCTGTCTCAGTAGTTTATGCAAAAGGCAAACAGCCTGGTGCTGCATCCCTCCTCCTCCTCCTCTGCTCTGCCAAGTCTTATAAATAGCCAGGCTCTGGACACAGACCGGGCTTCTTCGGCCCCGTGAGAGCACCACGCTGAACTGTGGGGACTTAGGGTTTGCAGAGGTGGGCACATGCGAAACCCTACACATTCAGGGGTTATTTTTACTTTGAAATGACAACACGTGAAGAGAGAGGATGGATGTACGCTGAATTAAATGGAGCTCCCCAAAACATAGCAGAGTCTGTAACAGAAATCACCCAATAGAGTCCTATTTGCTGCCTGCACGCACGGTGATTTTCATTAACCCCTTATTCAGTCTGAACTATGCTGGTCTTGTTTGTTTTAAATACCTACCAGTGAGCACATTTCTGTTAAATACAACAAAAAACAAGCACATTGAAGCGAGACGAGCCAAACTACCTCTCTTCCAAACTACCTGAACGAGCACACACCACCTCCTCCTCCCCGTGCCTTAACGGCAAAGCAGAGCCGATTAAGAGTTTCCGCAGCAGAGGCTCGTTTAGCCCACATCCTCCAGGAGTTCAGCAACACTCCCGCCTCCTCTCCTTAAACCACCGCACACTAAATCGGAAAACAAAACAAAACAAAACAACCTCCCCCCCCCCAAAAAAAAAAAAAAAAACACAAACAAAAAACAACAAAACAAAAAAAAACATACCGAAAATACGTACACTCCTCCGGCCGCGATAAAAAAAGGCACTCCAGCCTGCCGCCACAGCCCCACCTCCGAGGTACCGCTCCTCGAAGCCATTTAAAAGCCCCCCTGCCTGCACGCCCCCCCCGGCCCTCACCGCCGGCCCGGCGGAGCAGCGCGCTCCGCCCGCCGCGGGGGAGCCAGGGCGCCGCGCCGCCTGCCCAAACTTTCCGGCGGGCCGACCCCCCCTCCCGCTGGCCAGCCCCTTCCCCAGCCCGGCAGCACCCACCGAGGCCCGGCCCGGCGCCTCCCTACCTGCGCTGGCGCCGGGCTCAGCCCCGCAGGCGGCTCGGGGCCGCGAGCCTCGCCCCCCGCCCGGCTCCCATGGCGGGGCCGCGGGCGGGCGGCCGGCGTCGCCTCCTCGCTGCCCGCCCGCCGCCGCCGCCGCCGCCTCGGCGGACCCGCAGAGGCTGCGGCGCGGCGGCCACCCGATCCGGCCCCGCCGCCCCGGGGGCGGGCTCCGCCGTGACCTCCTCTCTCTCACATGGCGGCCGTGCGCCCCCGAGCCCAGGGGCGGCGGCGGCCGGGCAGGACGCGGCGCCCCTTCCTTTCCTCCGCTCCCTCCTTCCCTCCCGCCGCCGCCGGCGGGCCGGGCGCAGGGCGCGGCGTGGGGAGGGGACTGGCCGCTCGCCGTGGGGCGGCAGCGCCTGGTGCGGCCGCGCAGCGCCCCTGCCCGCCCGCCCCTCCCCTCCCCTCCCCGCCGCCGGTGTCGGGGCGCGGGGCAACTCCACGCGTCCCGCAGGGCCCCGCGGCGGCGCCGGGGCGGGGGGGGGGGGGGGGGGGGGAGCTGAGCGGGGCAAGGCGGGCTCGGTTGGGGTCAGCCCCGCGCCGCGGCGGCTGGAACTTTTTGCCGGTGTGAAAAGGCGCCCGGTCGGGCCGTGGGGTCGCGCTGCGGCGGGGCCGGGCGCTGTCCCGGCTGCCCGAGGCGCGCAGCGGCCTCCGGCCCCGCCGGCCGGGAGCACGGGGGCCCGGCCGCCGCGCTGCAGCCGAGCCCCGGCCGCGGGCGGGGGCGGTTCGGCCGCGGTTAACGGGGGCAGCGCGGGCTGCGCCCGTCTGTGGCCGCCCCCGCTGCCTCACCTCCCTCCCGCCGGCCTTCTCCAGCAGGGAAGTGGTACGTGGTTTACTAGTTGCAATACTTAGGCTTTTGAAGGGCCGGTGGACGTTTTTGTAGTTAAACATAACTGCCTTTTTCGCCTTTATGCTTTCGGGTAGAGAAAAAGGGACAGAATGCTCTGTTACAAAGATGATGGCTGCAGCACGGATGGTCGGATTGTTGGGACAGAAGCGCAAAGGGAGGACTACAGGTGCTTTTGTCCTGGATCTGAGCAAGGTTATTTATGTATTTTTAAGCTGCATTAGATGACATACTACTATAATCTTCTATGAGTTTTGCTTTACAGATGTTCCAGAGCAGTCCCAGCTGCACTAACCCTTCTGCCACAGTAGCTCTTCTGCAGCCTGCTGAGCTCTGCTGGTGCCTAGGGCTGGATTTCCCAAAGTACTTGCTTGGTGCTATAACTGAAACTTTTAGGCTAGGTAAAATTTTCAGATTTTGTTTCATTAAAACGGTAGCATTGCAGTATCAGTACTCAGGAGAGCAATGAAAATTTGCTGGATACTAATATTTTACTGTTAAGTACCATCAGGAGCAGAGCACCTGTTATTTGTGAAAACCCAGACACAAACTCTTCCACAGGAGGATGCAGGTGCTAAACTCTTCTGGCTGCTGAGTTCTCACTATAAGCATCTATGAGTCCCATCTAGTTTACAAAATTATTTCTATTGACAGTGTGGCATATATCTCTGTCAGATATTCACCTGCTAAATAATGTTTTAATCTTCTGAAACTTTAAAATACAAGACTAGAGTTTTGAAGGATACGAACAAGTCAAATGTTTCCATGGGTTGCACTAATAAAATGGAATTCTGGATTGCTATGGGGTTTCTAGACAAAGTTTTATAGAGTTAAGCTACACCTTTCTCATTACCTGACTAATAATCATTAAGTATTTGCCTTCACAGTGTTATCTCATTACCTCTCAACAAAGAATTGAATCTTTTGCCTTTTCTAAAACCAGTCATTTTATGCCTTATATAGCTTAAACCCTGCCATGGACTGAGCTGCCAGCACACATGCATCGCTGCTTCTAGAAGAACAACTGGAAAGACCGACCTTGCTTTGCTGCCAAGCAGCAGCTGGCTGCGGCTGGAGCAAGGCAGAAGGAAAGAGGGGACTGGGGAAGGCGATGTTATGTCTGTGATAAAGAGGAGAGGGAAACCAATTTATGGTTCTGACATTTTCACATGTTCCCAGGTGAAACTTTGGTACAAAACCTGAGATATTCAGCATCCAGGATTCTCTTTGTAGGAGCTCTGCCTCTCCCTGACTTAGTTGCGTGGCACACAGACCAGCTGGGGCTGAAGGTTCGAGATACCACTGTGTAACAAGAAGGAGAAAGCCTCAGAGAACCTTCTTAGCAACAAACTGCAGCTCATCCTAGCCTTCTTGGCAAAGTATGAGGTAAATACCCTCATTTCGCTTTCTAAAGGACTTCTCATTGGACTTCAGCCTCTGTTTATTCAGATTCATGGGTGTATTAAGTTGATGGATTGTACCTCACATTAGAGCCCTTCCAGAACTGACACTTGACTGCTTCATTAGCGTCCTAGTATCAAACTGCAGTATATTATGGTCCAAATGGTCCAACAGCAGATACGAAATAAATATTTGGTGTTTTCTTCAGTGTGAATTCTGAACTAGAAGAGGAGAGAAACACGAAAATCTGTTATTTGAAGGCTGCTTTTAACAATGTTTTCAATGTGAGTTTTATAGTCCTGGTATAACATAAAAGGCCCTGGAGACTGAAGTCCTTCTGTTTATTCACAGGATATACACGACATAAAAACACAGGTCTGAGTTTCCCCACTCTGCTCTCCCCCTAGGCAACAGTAACAAGGACAACTGCATCTCTGGATGAGAATCAAATTCTACATTCCGTTCAGGATGCTTTCCAGTTTGCTGGGTCTTGTCTGCGTGATGAGAACTTTGCATTAGCTAAATCAGAGCTGTCATGTGTATGAAACAGTCTATGCTGATTTTAGCTTAATTTTACTAGGAATTAGCTTAATTGTACCAGGAGGCAGTTGAATAGAAAACAAAAAGGAACTCAGTAGCTGAAATAAAAATGCTGCTGGTGGGGAATGACTTAAGTTAAGCTGCTGTGATGACCATCTCCATTAGACCAGGCTCAGAATGGTGAGAGTGGGCATCTATGCTGAAGGTAGCTGGCTATTAGTCAGAAAAACTTTAACATCTACTCCATGAGATTAGGGGGACTAAAATTTTGAAATATATTTTTTAAGAGTGGCCTTGGTGTGAATGAGAACCCATACGTAGGATGTATCTTTTACCAAGTTAAAATGGCTTGTCTGCCTGGTTAATAACGATATAAAAACAAAACCTCACAGCTCTGCAGATCCTATCTGGACATCTAAGAGCATTGAAGACAATCACTTTTAGCATAATATATGGATAAAGTGAGGCCCAGGATATGCCCATACTCAGCCCAGCATAGGCATGCAGACCCCACACAGCAGGGGATCACCTAACACATGCGGGAGCATGCCAGTTCTTTCCCAAATTAATAAAAGAAGTGTCCCGTAGTGTCCCCTGTCTTCAGTGAGACGATGGGGAGAGAAAAGAGGAGGAAGCTCCATGAGAGCCTGCGGATCTGGGCAGGGCAGGGCATGGGGGGAGGAGGAGCACAGAAGAGGAGCCCCACTGCAATTGGGGAGCAGGGGGGGCATTTAGAAAATCCCCCACAATAGCGAGATTGGCTTCAGGGTGTCTGCTGAGCCCTGGGAGAGGACAGGGCGTGCTTGGGGGGAACCGTGCGGCGGGAGGCGTGTGCTGCCAGTGCCCTGCTCAGCTCAGCAGCTCTGAAACTCCTCCAGACTATGAGAGGGGAGAAAGCGTCCCCAAAGCGTGACTCCTCCGGGAAAAAGGATGGTTGTGACTTTTTATTTTGCTTCGTTTCATCGTTATTCCTGAAACGGAAAGGGTTCTTATATGAAAGGTATTTTTTATTGTGGTGCTAAAGTGGCAGTTGTTCTGGCGGGTTCACATCACCGCCTGCAAAAGGTAGCAATTTGTGCAATAGTATTAGTCCAGCCATATAAAATAAGGCCTTCAAATAGCAGTCAGTCTGAAGACAGAAAGAGAGAGACAAAAGCAACGTACATATTACTATAACAAATCATGTGTATTTGAAAGGCTCAATTATAAATAAGCAGTTTAAACAACTCTTAAAAAAAAGGCAAGCTTCCATAACTATTTTTAAACTAGGTTAGCTTTCATCTTTTCATTTTTATTTCTTCTATTTTCTTTATGCCACTTGTCAAAGGATACTGAACACATAGTGCTCCAATTCTTTCTTTTTTCACTAGTCTGATGTCTTTTTAGTTGACTGATAAGTAGTTATTGAAGAAGTATTACACAAGCTGTAGTTACAACCATGTCCTAATTGTTTTTAAATTATTCAGTTTTTCACAGATAATGGTATGTTGCAACATTTTTTCTGCTTTGCATGCATAAAAAAAAAATTTAAAAATCCTCTGTCATTTCGAGTTTAGGATCTTCAGTACAAGGACTTTTCACTTCTGTAAATCACAATTTGCATGCTGGGAAATAAATAATGATTTTTTTTATTTTAAATTTTGTTTATTACACGTAATGCAAAAAAAATATCGCTGTATACCAGTAGGAGATGCAAACTTCAGAAGTTACAAATTTATGAAACATCTTTGAAATGAGATTTTTGCTGCTACTGGTTGATGTCCTAAGAATTACACCATTAGTACATGATTTTTCTCATTATTAAGGAAAATGTAAATATTATAGAGTGCTGTTTTGGGCTGGGCTAGAGTCAGTTTTTTTCACAGTAGCCAGTGTGGGGCTGTGTTCTGGATTTGTGCTGGAAGCAGCGTTGATAACACAGCAAGGGATGCTCTGGTTGCTGCCGAGCAGCGCTCACACAGCGCCGAGGCCTTTTCTGCTCCTCACCCCACCCCCCCAGCGAGCGGGCTGGGGGGGCACAAGGAGTTGGGAGGGGACACAGCCGGGACAGCTGACCCCCCCTGACCCCAGGGATGTCCCACACCGTACGGCGTCATGCTCAGCACCTACAGCTGGGGGAAGGAGGAGGAGGAAGGGGGGGACGTTCGGAGGGATGGTGTTTCCCTTCCCCAGTCACCGTTACGCGGGATGGAGCCCGGCTGTCCTGGGGAGGGCTGAGCCCCTGCCTGACCATGGGGAGTGGGGGATGAATCCCTTGTTTTGCTTTGCTGGTGTGCACGGCTTCTGCTTTCCCTGTGAAACGGTCTTTATCTCAACCCATGAGTTTTCTGACTTTTACCCTTCTGATTCTCTCCTCCATCCAACCTGGGGGAAAGTGAGCAAGCGGCTGTGTGGGGCTTAGTTGCTGGTTGAGTTTTAACCACAACAAACAGAAATAATGCTTGTTCCAAAGTGTGGGAAACATGACTGGTTTTATTTACAACAACTCAGAAAAGCTCTCATTATGTAATGAGATCAGTTTCTCTGCCCTGTAAGCTCTGAGGAGACTCTAATGCACGTTTTCCACCTCAGTAACAGTTCCCTTCCATGTCCATGAAAGAGAGAAAGAAATACATGCTGCCTTTTTGTATGCAAGATGTCTAGAAGTTCTAACACTTTAAATCACTTTTCTGTTCTTACGTGCCTGTTGCATCTACTAAGGGAGGTTTTGCCAATATAAACTTCAGAATAAGCGTTATTGCCATCTTAACCACAATAGTTAAGTAATTTTAAAAATTGCATAGTGAAACCTTTGGAAAGTGAGGAGGATTCAATTCAGGACCTGTGCATATGGGCTCATTCTGAGGAAAAAATGTCTATTCAGAGTGCAGTATTTTGTGCTTGTAATTACAGGACACGAGAGTGATTATAAATGGATGTTGATGCACTCATTTTCACCACAATTTCAGTAGCCTGGGGAAATTGGATATTAATCATGGCTCACAACGTTATTTGATATTTGTGCCTTTTTGCTTGAAAAGAGGTAACAAAATGTTTTTGCATGGACATGTACACAATAACACAAAACATTATGTATAGAGAAGTCTTAATACTATACCTTTTTCTTCCTTTTCGCAGAGCCAAAGGATGCACTACCAACATTTTTAATTTTTACATTGTCATTGAGTTGGAAAATTGAACGAAGTATTCTTTAACCTTGTGTTTAGCTCTCTTCAGATAGAATCGGAAATTCAGTTGAAATAACAGACCAGTATTACTTTTCCCTTTATTATTTATAATTATTCTTGTATCTTCTCTAGATACATTTGTGTTTAGTAAAAATTTCCTCAATAAAGGCAACATCAGCTATCACAGGGTTTATGAAAAGAAAAAATCTGTTCCTGTACTGTTTCATAGTTTAAGTTAATAGATCTTATCCTTTCACTGGTCTTTACTATTACTGGAGGAAAACCATCCCCTCCCAAAACAACACCCCAGGTTTGCTCTCTCTTAATTTCTCACAGGATTTCTTCATTTTTATTGTATTAAATGTTGAATTAAATTTAATAAATGGAATTGAAGAAAGAAATTCATATGTTCCTTAGAGGAAGACAGGAAAAAATAAAAGCTATTATTATCAAAACTGATGTAGCGCTGGAATTCACACCAATACACCAATATTTACTTCTGTTCTTTAACTTTCTTTAAAACTTCCATAACAGGAATTATACAGTTTAGTATTTTATTTTAATTTTTTTGAAAAACAACACAGGTTGTTTTCTGAATGATAGACATATATGAAATGAAAATGTTTTAGAAGATGTTGTTCTTATTCAAATATGCTGTTAATATTATTGGTGTAGAGTAAAAACATTCATTATATGGTTGGTAATTATAAATTTTTGTCTCCCACGAAGATGAGCATTGAAAAAATAATTTTAAAAATTTCTTCTACAATTTTTGCATCATCAAACATGTGAAATGCTTTGTATCACGACTCAACCTTTTTTGTTGTTGTTAGTTTTTGTTTGGTTTTGTTTTTGTTGGAGAATGTGATGAAATAGATATTAATTTTGCCAAGTCAAGTATTTGGAAGTTAAGGGATTCAGAGTATGTGTGCAAAAGTCTGCATTCTTCCCATGGTTTATGGGAGTTCGAGTATAACCACCAGACATCTGATCCTGTAACAGAGCTGTTTGCAGACTTGGAGAACCAGCATGCCTCTGTGGGATTATTCTCCAAAACTTACTGAACATAAACCCCTAGATATGAAGCCTTCAGTGATAAGCTTTCTCATAAACATCTTCAAACTTTTCCTGTACTTTGCTCTCATTTTCTCTCACTGTTACTATCCAGTTTTTAAAAACAAGCTTTTCCAGTGATGCATCATGCATAGCACATACACGTTATCCTGCTGCCCTCCCATACTTTTTGAACCTGCTGGCTAAGTTCAACCAAAATTGACAAAGAAATTAATTCTTAAAGCTTCACAAAAAGAGGTGGATTGGTAGAGAAGAGCAACCTTATACGAGTTGTCAGTGAAGATGTGCTGTAACTTCATGCCTTGTTACACACCAGTGACTCCACAAGAGACAGTACCAGTATAAATGCCCAGGCTGCACTAGACACATAGAGTTTACACCTTCTTGGATGCTGGAGATAACTTATTTAAAGACAGCAATCTATAATAAAATTCTGCTAATTCTGGTGTTCAAATCCTTTTGCTTTCATGTCATTACCCTTCCCTACATTACTGTAGAAATCCCTATATCCCTTACAAGTGCCTCTGATAGGGTACCAGGTAAGCAGTGG